TTCTTGTCCTACAGACCACTGTCTTGTAGGGTGGACTGAACCACTATCCTGCAGGGGTGGGCCATACCACTGCCCTGCGGGGGTGGATCGTACCACTGTCCCGCGGGGTGGACTGTACCACTGTCCCGTGGGGGTGGGCCGTACCACTATCCTGCGGGGGTGGACTGAACCACTATCCCACGGGGGTGGACTGTACCACTGTTCTGCAGGGGTGGACCGTACCACTGTCCCACAGGGGGTGACCTACCGTGAAGAAGTTGTACTTGTAGAGCTGTCCGCCGGTGAGCTTGCAGACCTCGGACACGGTGGCCACGTCCACGTACTGGTTGGGGAACAGGAAAATGTCGACGCAGCAGCCCTGAGCCACGCAGTCCTTCCCCAGGGTCTGGTAAAAACTCGTCTGGGGCTGGAACAGGGTCTGAAATAAAAGGGAACAGGATACTCAAGATGAGAACACAAGCAATGAAATCTCTGGTACCCAATCCCGAAAATCAACAGGAGCTCCTGTGGTCCAACTGGTCTACCAGGAGCTTTTTTATTTCCGCAGAAACTGATTTACACATCAATTCCAACCTTCAGGTTCACACTACAACTGTAAGAAAAAAATTAGATAGAAAGAAAGGCAACAAAAAAGACTTAATAAGAAATTGGATGGTTGACCCACAATAGGAACGGAAGGAAGAAGTTTATCGGTGCCTTATACTCCAACCGAAGCAAAGAGGATTAAGTATACAAACTTCCCACCTTCTCTATGACAAAAAGGGATAAGTGTTCTTCTTGCCAACACTGAGTAAATTGGGACTTACCCAAATTTTCAACACTCAGTGTTGGCAAGAACGTTTAGCCCTTTTTGTCCTAATGAAGTATACCACCACAGACGAACTTTCATGCTAAGTTTCCCACCTTCTCCTTGTCTGTGCCCAGAAGTTTCCTGTCGTCTCTGTTCTTCAGTTTCCCAGGAGCCTCTGCCAGCGGCAGCGACGTCTGGAACACAAACAGCTTCCCCGCACAGTCCGCAGCCTGGAAAAAAAAAAAAAAACAATCATCTCTTCTGTACTCTCGCTGCCTAAACAAAGAAGTTAATGAAATGAAAGACACTGCAAAAAGCTGCCATGCATGCTCAAGACAGACCTGAAGCACATAGGACTGGGTAATCTTAAAATAGCACAAAAGGTTGCAAGACAAAGACAAGACAAGTAACAAATTACAGCCACAGTGGACTGGTTGATGCAGAATAGCTTCATCAAGCATAACGAAGGATCACAGCTTGTTGCCCCAACCTAAGAATTGCGACAGTTTCTAGTCAGTTGACAGCCGGGATTCAAACTCCCTACCCTTGGTGCAGAGGCAGGATCACTAACTACTGGACTAAGCACACTACTTGTCACATACCTTGAGCGCCTCTAGCCCAGCCTGCACCACTGGTCCCAGGCAGATCTCTGTTTCCCTCGTGTCAGAGAACATCTGGGGGATCTGTTCCAACAAACTGGGCAGGGAGAAAATACAACTACATCAGTCATGGGGACACTTTCATCATTCATTCTTTCAGAACTGTATTTAGCTTTCTCTAAACACACTTAGGAGAAAAAACATTTTAATTCCTAACATACACATGTAACTAACTCTTACCCAAATTATTCTGCGCATGTTGATTTTGAACATTTACGAGAAAATGCATGTACTATCAACTTTCTCCCTCACAGGTAGCTGTGATTTCTCCTTACCATTTATGACTGCTCCTTACTTACGTTAAGGAGAAAACACATGTACATCAGAAACTATCAACTTTCTACACTCTAGTCAGGTCTAATTTCTCCCTACCTATCTATGACTGTCCAGGAAAGGAAAAAACACATGTGCATCAGGTAGTTAACAACTCCCTACACCCCAGGCAGGTCTAATTTCTCCTCACCTATCCATGACTACCCAGGACATGTTACACTGCTTACATTAAGGAGAAAACACATGTACATCAGATATTAACAACTCTCTACACCCCAGTCAGGTCTATTTTCTCCTCACCTATCTATGACTGCCCGTGCTTCCTGAACCGTGACCAGGAAACCGTCTAACAGCGGCAGAAAAACATCGGCGACGTCAGAAACAACCAACATCTGCGGCTGGGCCAGGGTACCCTGGGGGGGAGAGCAATGCTGGGTTTAGTATCAAAAGTTACAACTCACTAGAAAGGTAACATTCGCAAGGCAAAGGTAAAAATTGCAACATGAGGTAACACAACACTGGTTATACCATGGTAACAGACACAACATTGGTTCAAGTCATTGAGGTCACTGCTTGGAGAAGAAGAAGAGGAAACTGAGCAGAAACAATATGTTTTTCCTTCGGTAAACATTAAAAATGGATCCCAAATGTATGTGTGATGGCCTGTGTGATGTCAAATGTAGAACTCTAAGTCAAGAATCATAACCACAAGACCACCTTACCACTAAAACTGCACTCAACATACAATGTTACGAAAAAAAAGCCTTGCAAAATGTACGTTGAAGGTTAACATCAGTATCATCAAAAATGGTGATGATGCTAAGAATTTCCATAGACTGACCTTGACATTGTAGAAGTGCAGCACTTTGTTGAAGGTCACAAAACCCACTCTTATGGAAGATTCATCCTGGCCGTCTTCCCTGGGGGACAAAAAAACAACGTCAATACATTTTCTTAGCTTTCTTTTCTCTGCCATTTCTAGCAACAAGAACAAGGAAGACAAGTTTTTGGGCTAGAAGTGCCTTGTACCATTTTTAATCATATTCTCTAACTAAAAGCTCCTATTGGACATTGAATAAAAACACCCCTGAATATGAGTGGTATGATCCATAACTACAGCATACAGAGTAGGTATCCGGACTGTACCACTGCATACCTGGGTAAGGTATCCAGCAGTCCCTTCAGATGTTTGGTGAGCAGTGGTAACATCCCGTTCTTCACACTGTTGTAGGAAGCTTCGATCATGAAGATGAACGCAGGCGGATTCGGGGGCTGGTTATTCTGGAAACGGGAAAGAAAACACACAAAACTCATAAAAAAGGCATGGAAAAGAGAAATCCATGTTAATGATATAACTAGCATCTGCATGCAATGTAATGTATAAATGACTATGTGTAAGTAGCCATTCAGCTTGCACAGCCATCATGCTTGGGTTTTGCTGACATGTAATGCCTAGTGTTTGTTGAAAATGTGGAAAGATTTTAGGACTGTAAAATGGGGAGCACAATGGAGAAAATTATATGCTACAACATTGCAGTGATCTGTCTGGACTTCAATGGACGACAGCAGTTGGATTTCATGTTGTTAACTCCCAGATGTGAAGCACTGCAATGGTTTGCTACTACCAGTTATAAGGCTTTTAGTCAAGTTCAGCAAAGCAGATTTCATCAGAAGAAATCGGAACAGGTGGAATGCTACATTTTATGTGTTATGCAAGAGGTAAGAAAATCATATTTTGTGCTTCCTTTACAGTTGTCTGTACTGAATTTGAAGTCACCAACTCAAGATTATCATAAGAATACTGATGCAATATCTAAGCATAGAACTGCTGCAATTTATCCTCTCAGAAAATCAACTAATTTGAAGTCACCAAATGAAATTTGTCCTAAGAAAACTGACACAATTTTTAAAAGCATGATTGCCATGAACAAGAAAGTTACTGTAGCATGGAACTGCTGCATGGTTAGTGCATGGCACAGGCATGGCTGTTATGGACTCATGTTACTGTTAACATTAGAAGCGGAAAGTTTGCGACGAGGATCGAGTCCTTACAACATCGCTCTCTGCAGAACCATCCCCGGCCTGAGACACAGGCTGCACAGGCACGGATCTTTGCTATAGCAGGAACAAAACCAGCATTCAAATAAAAATAAGGAAAAAAAAGAAAGAAAGAAAAGGAAATCCCTGTCCCCAAGAACTCAGTTCAAATTGTTATAGCAGAAATGAAACCAGTCACCAAACCAAAAAGAGAAAAAAAACACCTTAAACCCAGAAATTGTTAGACGAAAATGTTGCATCCTTTGCTGCATCCTTTTGACATATTTTTTCTAGCCTTGCTTTTGTCCATGCATGGGAGAACTCTAACTCTCTATGATGTACTCAAACCTGTCTTTACTATCAGCTCTGCTTTGGCTGCTGTCTCATGTTGTATCCAGAACCATGCTTTATCCAGAACAATGCTCAGACACGGTTCTGGATAGTCCATGCATATCCAGAACTGAGTCTGAGGCAAATCCGCGTTCTTGGATACAGGGAGACTGTACAGAACCGTGCCTGATCCTAACCCTAACCCATTCAGGCACAGAACTAGATAGGCATGGTTCTGGGTACAATAGAGACTATCCAGAACTGTGCCTGATCCTAACCCTAACCCATTCAGGCACAGAACTAGATAGGCATGGTTCTGGGTACAATAGAGACTATCCAGAACTGTGCCTGATCCTAACCCTAACCCATCCAGGCATATAACTAGATAGGCACGGTTCTGGATATGATACATTGTAACTTACCTTGCAGTAATCTAGAGTAGCGATGAACTCGTACGACCCACAGGCGAGCTCAGGCCTCTGGTACACGTCTATCCTCCGCCCGGTGTGGTCCAGGTGGGCAAAGTACGTGTCTGGGACTGGGGGGGTGACAGGGAGGGGGGGTTTANAAAATATTGCGAAAGGGGGGGGGGGAGAGGGGGTGTTAGCATGAAAACTTCATGAAATACTTGCAAAGCAAATGGATAATGTTAACCTTCGCATATGGTCTGCTCTGTTAATTCTTACTCAAACACATTCATATATATGGTGACAGGAGTCTAAATCCCTCCTGCTATAAAATTGCAACATGATGTAATCCAACACCAGTTACCATGGAGACAGACATCTGGTTCAAGTCATTGAACTTATTTGTTTGGACAAGAAGAAGAGGAAGAAGAAAACAGCAAAAACAAAAACAATTTCTTGCTGCAAAGATAAACATAATAAATCATATGTCAAAGCTACTATCTTATGAATGTTGCTGAGCCCTTACCATCAGTGACACAGCTACAGAAACTGCACATGAACCTCCGACCACCTTCCACAAACTGCATAAAGGGGCACATGTAGGCCTTACACCGGTTACACCTCACTGGGCCGGCTGTACCGTGGTCAACCACACACAGCTGTGCCTCCTGTGGCTTGAGTTGTGCGAATGGCTTGATGACCAGAGACATGGGAACACTGCACTGTTTGTACATGTCTGCAGTACAGGGGATGTTGTACATGGTCGCTCGCATGAACGCTGGGTTACAGTTCCCTGAAAACACAGGAAAGAAAATAAGCACAAAACATGAAAAAACATTGTCCTGTTTATTCAGGATCTATTCATTATCACTTGTCACAGTTTTTAATAATGAGAAGTCATCCCTAAAATTTGGAAGCAATCATACTTGCGGATAAGGGTTATGTTTTGAACCTTGGTTTATAGTTAGGGTTAACGTTACAGACCTTGGTTGATAGTTTAGTTTAATGTTATAAACTTCAAAGTTGAAACTTGAAAGCGGATTGCTCATTCCTTGACAAAGACTGTGGGTTGTAAAGTCGAAAAATTTGGGTAAGTCCAATTCTTTGTGTTGGGAATTACAGTTTTAACTACTTCATAATACAAACCTTCGTTGATAGTTAAGGTTAATGATACAAACCCTCGTCAAAAGTTGGGGTTAATAAGAATACAAACCTTGGTCAATAGTTTGGGTTAAGGCTCCAAACCTTGATCGAAAGTTTAGGTTAAAGTTACAAACCTTGGTCAATAGTAAGAAAGTCCGTAGTGACCAGAGGAGGCATCAGTCCTCTGGTGTTGGTGGCAAACTGCTGACCTCCACGACTGGTCCGGTCATCCTCAATCACCTGGATCTGTGGGATGGGGGCGGAAAAACATGTTACATAAAACATAAAACTCTGGTGTGATACCTTTACCTGGTGGGGTGGGGGTGACATGCTGAGAAAAGTAAAAAGTTCGAGAAGTAATAAGCTCTGCAAGCATAGGAGAGTAAACAAAGCCTTGGTTCATATTGCATGCGCCTGTGTCAGTCATGCATGCAACTTCATGTCATGCACTGAGCAACATTACGGCTCTTAAATGGGGTAAAAGGCAACAGCAAGTCAATTCTTTGGTTGTCCCTTTTTTACTGTGAACTATACTACCATCTGTACTTTCCTCGGTGAAGTTTAGACATCCAGGTAATAAGATATGCAAAAAAACAGTTACTCAAGCAACTGGATGTGATTTTGGTCTATCTGTACTTTTATAGGAGTGACAGTTGCCAAGAGTTTGCTTTCAAAACTCCCAGAACCGTGGAACTGACTTGCTGTGGCCTTTAGCGGGGCCGTTACAATATAAACAACTCACACGGCTAGGAATTAGGTCTGGGTCCAGCCTGGCCTGAAAGTGGGGAAACAAGGGTAAAAACAGAAAGGAAAATAATAGTGGAACAAATGTGCAAAAACAAGATGCAGAAAAAAACCATGCACTGCCACCGTGGTGCTAGGACTCAGTAGGAGACTTGCTTGTGATCAATCATGCAAAAACTTCAAACTTAATCAAACAAAACATTTATGTACAAACTATCATAATTGGAAACTGAACTCTTGTTCAAGGTAAAGATAGACTTTTGAAGAATGAAAAGGTATTATGGACATTACCCCCCTCCCCGCACTTTTTCAAATTGAGCCAGAATTTTAGTGGAAAGCTGGAGGATTGGACATAACTTGTGGCATCGTGTGGTGTAATGGTAGGGCATTTGGCCCGAACCCAGAGGTCCTGGGTTCAATTCCACCTACATACCCCGACGTTGTGCCCTTGGGCAAGGCACTTTACACAACTTTCCCCCAACATACCAGTTATTGCCGATTTATGGGCAGATGGGCATTATCGGAACAAGAAGAAGTTGTTTCTGACATTGTCGGTTTTAGAACAAAGGCATTCAGCCCGGAACCCATGGGTCCTGTGTTCGATTCCACCAACATGCATATGCCAGTTATTGCCATAGATGGGCATTATCAGAAGAAGGTGAAGAACTTTTGAATGATTCCAACATTGTTTGGAAGCTCAGTTTTAGACCAAAAGCTCAGCTCCCTGTCATGTCAAGTATGGGTACCAGTAAGTGTTCATGCTACGGCATATACCAGCACGGTACAGAAACACAAACACACAAACCCACCGGACTGGGGATCTGGTCAGGATCCAGACGCCTCTGCTGGGGGGGTTGTGCCACGGGTTGCCCCTGGTAACCGCCCATCCCCCCCGGCCCAGGGGGCTGTCCGTACCCCCCCTGGCTGGTGGGAGGGGGGCCGTACCCCCCCTGGAACCCTGGGGCACCAGAATAGTTGGGCTGGAAACAGACAAACAAACAGACAAACAACATTAAAACTTATTAACAGGACTGACCAGATAGGAAGTGAGTGAGAGTGACTAGAAATACTACCATATCATAATGTATACAATCATGTATAACTTTCAACAAACAGTTTAGTCTATATACATGTACATAAATATCTGCAGAAGCAAAATCTTCTGTGATTGCAATAAAAAAAAAGGATAATATCTGATATTCATAGTTCAATATTATAGTCCAACACAAAAAGTTCTCTCATCTAGAGCTTTTGACCACTCACTCTGGTCTTCCTCAGTAGACTGACCCACTTCAAAGAAGTCACGTGACAAGCCTCACTGGGTCAGTCTACTGAGGAAGACCAGAGTGACTGGTCGAAAACTCTAGGTGAGAGAATTTTTTGTGTTGGACCAAAAGTTTTAACTTTAAACATTTAACTTCCAACACAGATGAATTTTCATGATAATGCTTCACATATTGGTAAAGGATACTACGAGAAGACACAATGTTGACATGATACCAGTCTACGCAAGAGATTGCAAGACAAGTCTGACTGAAGTTGTGGCAAGTTTGCAAGGGGAAGAAGAATAGGGACTTACTTTATTTTTGTCTGTTGATTGTTTCTGCTGCAGAGAGATGAAGGAAGCAGAAAGATTCTACAGTTAACTACAAGCGTGCAGAATCAGCATGGCGAATATCAACAATTACATGGCAGAAATCACATAGGCTGACATAGCAGAAATCTACATGGCGGAATCAACATGAGAACAGGACTAAACACAATTAAATTAGAGGTTCGAGAATTAAATGCCTTTTTTCAGAAGGAGGCCACTGACAACTTATCAAAAGAGTTATGACCAAAAGGGCTAAACGCTCAAGCCATATTGGAACTTACTCAAACTTTAAGTCCCAATTTACGTAGTGTTGGCTTGAACATTTAGCCCTTTTGGTCATAATGAAGTATACCAACACAGATGAACTTTCATGCTGAGTTATCAAAAGAGTGTTGCATGTCAATGATTGTGACATACATGTGCGAAGCAATTGGTTTATCATATAGACAACATGTAATGTATGTGTGAATTGAACATACCAAGCCTGAAATTTCAACATAATATAGAACTAGAGATGAAAACATGACTCACCATTCCCACCATGCCTGGCTGTGAGGCAGGGGGGGCGTAACCTGCGGAGCTGTACATCCCCGGTCCAGGGGGGCCCATCTGGGGGGGCATGCTGGAGGGGGGTCCCATGGACATGCTGGAGGGGGGTGCAGAGCTTCCAGGGGGTCCGTAGGACGAGGGGGGCATGCTGCTTGGAGGGGGTGCACCCTGGAACATGAATCATAGAACAATACTGTTATACAACAAAAGTTACAACTGTTTGTGTCCATGATGTTTGTAGTACACAAATTGTACATATAATTTTACAACTTGTTCATACATATATATGAAGACTACATATATATGAAGACTACAGGATACACTTTATAGAACTTTATGAAATGCTAAACATCATAAAACGTAATATGAAACAAGTCATCTTCAGTAATGAATGTCCTGTTGCACAAAAATTTGCCTGTTGTCCTTCAGAACCCTGGCAAGGCAAAACTGGGAACCTTTGAGCCTTTTCATACTAACTAATTCAACGAAGCATCTGAAACTAAGGGGCTATGTGTTGTAGTACAGTACTCAACAACGTACAATGTAGTTAAGAAACTGTGACATTCTTGACTGAGAGGTTTTTCAGCCAGGAACAGCACTGATGTCCACAGATACAAAATTCAGCCAACTACAAACTGAAGCTTGTCTAAAAGCCCAAAAACACAACAGTGTGTAACTTTAGAAATGAATATAGCAAACATGCAGACTCACCATGCTTGGCCCGGGGGGACCTGGTCTTTGCTGGGACAAACTCATGGTCTGCATCTGGTTCACCATCTGAAACATGGGAGACAGAATGTAGGTTTACATGTGACAATATTACATGTACAAACTGTTGAACATTTAGCACACAGCACAGTTTTACATTTGAGATATCTACAAAATGTTCAGTGTCTGAAACATGGGAGACATGAACAGACTGTTCACACTGTAAAACTAACAACTATTTATAAGACAGAAAAGTTGAAACAAAAGAGTTCATCAAGGTTCTGTTATGTTTCTAAAATCTGCCAGTGTTTCCTCACTATAGCTACTACTTGACAACAAAAACTAACAACAGCTACAAGAAAGAAAACTTGTAGAAACGAAAGAGTTCATCCGGGCCCAAAATTTCTTGCTTCTTCCTAAAATCTGCCAGTGTTTTTGCACTACTACAGCCATGAGAACACAATGCCTTACCTGCATCTGACTACTGGGAGGTGGTCTGGACATGGGTGGACCAGACTGGACACTGGACATGGGTGGACCGGACTGGACACCAGACATGGGTGGACCAGGAGGTCCAGTCTGTACGTTAGACATGGGAGGGCCGGGGGGGCCAGGCTGGTACTGCTGGGGTGGTCCTGGTGGGGGAGGGCCTCTGGAAGGTGGGAAATATACATCATTAACATGTATTACTGGTGGTACATTCGATCACAAGAACTGCATGACCAGTAGAAGGTAAAATCTGGCTGCTGAACTCTGGATAGTCAAACCTCCAACCTTGTGATTTGGACATGGGACATTTGTTTGTTTGAAACTGCTTCACAGTTACATTGTGTATGTATTACAGTAAAAACCATACTGAGGTGTAATGCATTATTGAGGTAAGGTAGGTTTTTAACAATAACATGCTTGAGGTGTGGTTTTTGTCCCATCTGCAACCCTTTCAAGTACCAACACATGCAAGTTGGGTGAGTAACAACAAATTGGATTCAATCTCTGCTCCACTAATATAACATACAGCACATGATACTGTAATTCACTTAGTGTTTGTCTCTGGGTCTGGGGAAAATGAACTTGTTTACAGAACTTGGCAGCAAGTGCAAGAAGGGGGTAATGGTAAGTTCACAGTACAGAGGTGACTGTGAAAACAGTGAACATAAAATTACTGTGAGAAAATCAGGAATTACAGTAATCTGTAGTGTACTGTACCGTTCCACCCACCTGCTGTACTGTTGTTGCTGGGGAGGTCCTCCGTAAGCCTGGCCACCGTGAGAGAACCCATTCTGCATGTCACCACCCCCCTGGCCGTACCCCCCTGTAGGCCCCTTCTGTGAGGGGGGTGCTCCATAACCCCCCTGTGAAGGCTTGGCCCCTGGGGGGCCCAGGGAAGGGGGTCCGTTCATGTAAGCATTCTGTGGAGGGGGTTGTCCCGGGACTGGGCCCCCGTACCCCCTGTTCTGTCCCCCAGGAGGGGGTGGCCCCCCGTAGTTCTGGTACCCCCCCTGGTAGGGTTGGTTGTAGCCTGTCTGTGGATTCATGGTGGACTCTGTTGCCTCAGTGGTGGGTATTGCTGGATTCGGCTGTTCGTGTTGAGAGCTGGAGAGAGAAACAGACAAGTTGTTATTTTTCTAACACATGCTGGTAAATCTTAAAAACAACTCCAGTAAGTCAACAACTTTCCAAGTGTTTAAAAGTTTGGTAAACTCTAAATTTTGGTGAGAATTAAAAACAGTTAAATTTTTAGGTGTTATGTAGTAAAACCAGACAACGCCCCAATTTCTGATGTGGTCAACCAATCAAAACTCCTAGATTCTTCACCAAGGCGTAACAAACATCTCAAAACCTGACGAAAAGGATCTTAAACATAGTCTTAACTTCACAAGACATGCCCAAAACTCCCCCCCCCCTCCCCCTGCACTGTGTACGAAACGCTACGTGTCACTGTGGTCGATCGATCGAGTAGTAAACAAACTCATATTTAGCCGAATTAAGTCTCCAAATCAGCAAACAAGTACACAGCAACAAGGCTTTAAACATTATAAATGCGTAAACATCACATAAACTGGAACAATTATTAGAAAATCGAGTTTTTTGACCAACTCCTAACTTGACGTACAAACTCAGTCATCAGTCCTTACACCAGGAAACCGAGCTAGACTACGCGACACCTCAAGATTCTACACCCAAAATCTCCACTTTCCCTCGAAGGATTTCGATCAAACTTTCACCGCACGTTCCTTAAGGTCTGCCCTAACGATCGACTCCGACGTCAGGACGCAAGACTCACCTGTTCGGTTTCTTAAGGAGAAAATCTTGGACTTGCCCTCGTCTTATCTTGTGCCACGTCGAGACACCGGGCAGGATCCCGGATGAAGCGCATGCGCACAACGCCGACACGTCGACACCTGGCCGCACGGCATGTTGGGAAAAGTCTGCCCTTCAACAAGTCAGCAAATGTTTTTGTGAGCGAAAAGATGTAAAAATTGATAGAAAAACCATAAAAACGTCCTCAAATTCCCAGATAAATCATGCTAAAAACGACTAAACATTTCTCTATCTTTTTAAGGTGACGATGACGCGAAAGGGACAATAGATTTATGTAAATCTTGACTTTGAAATGACAACAAGGCTGAGGCAATAAAAATCATTGCCAAGGCGACGACTGAATGATATATATTATTTCATGTGGTGGAGCTAGCAAACTACATTACAATTATAAGAAAAACAGATTTCCCTATCTTATAAAGACATGCACATAGTGAAATTTACAGGATGGGTGGAGGATGTGTGGGGCAATATACCAAATACACGTATAGGAGGAATCAGCCGTTCTTCCCCAGCAATATAGATTTTATGATGACATACTTACTTACTTTACTTTTTACCAAACCATCCTCCATTTCACTTCACTCTATCCTCCACCAGAGACTGGATTTTATGTCTGGTCTGGAGTTGTTACTCCTTTGACTTTTTTTTACCTTTTGTGGGATCCAAAAGGACGGACAATTTCTTTTCTCTCTGTGATCTGATATGGTCTTTGGCCAAAGACAGCTGTGCTCTCTGTCCATGGTGTGGGGAGAAGACAAATGTCCAGTAATTAATCATGCCAGGCAGGTGGATGGGTGGCACGTGGGCACCGGTGTAAGTTACCTGCTTGATCCAAAAACCACATGGCCGAAGGTTTCCTCAAAACCAATTCCCCAGGGAATGCATTCATGCAATTTTTGAAATTCTTTCAAAGCGATCGTAGTACTTACACAAATGCCTCCGCCCCCAAAGGGCGTCGCCAAAAACGTAACGTGTCTGACATGTCGGATTCCACGTTGCAGAAGACAACACAACACGACCTATTTATTTTGACATTTTTGGGCCGTTTTATCTGACTCATTTTCCGGTTCTACCTGTTTTCACTAATATCGTAAGTTACCTGTAGATGTTCCACGATGGGTGATGTGACACTGCAAAGGATGACGTTGTTATATGGCTTTCTTTGAGATCAATGAATGAATGAATGAATGGATGAATGTCTGACGGTAAATGATAGAAGATATTACAGTATACCTGATGGGAGGTTTTAATAGATGGCCAGGTAAACGGTGCTCATAGACAACTCAGACTCTAGGACTGGATAACGTAGCATTTTTTCAGTACTAGATAATATTTTATCCAATTTTAGGCCACACCAATTTAATTTGTTGGTTCTCGGATTCGCCTCTTCATTTTTTTCTGATTTGCAAAAAAAAAAAGATTCTGGTTCTGAATCAACTCAAAAATGCTCATATTTTGCCCCCAACAGTTGTGGAAAGTCCTTTTCTCCCTAGCTGTTGCAGTGTTTCCATCTATCAATGCAGTGGTTTGATTAAAAGTTCAAAATTCATTGTTTAAATATTAACACAACCTTTTGTGTTGACTTCATGGCTCCTATCATAGCCTTTGGGGCTATAATAGGATGCCTAAACCTGTTTTTATTTTTTTCGCCCTGTCGCTTCATGTTTTTTCTGACAAAATCCGAGAACCAACAAATTAAATTGGTGTGGCCTTATCGTTGATTGCAGGAATCAAGCACCCTTACCGAAACCAAGGAGCTTTCAAAGTCTGCAACTAAAACTCCCCTGCCATTGCAAAACTAGTCGCTAGAGGGCCCACTCCTACTTAAGTCTTCTGAGCTATCTACCACCCAAAACGTGTTCAGAACGAGTTACAGACCACCCTCCCAAAGTTCTGTTGCAGTACCAAGGAAAGCTGCCAGGGGCATCTTTCCTACCTTTAGCTACCATCTTGGCTAAAACAAAAAAGCAACCATCCTGAAAACTGCAGTAAAGAAGACAAAGTGACCAATGACACATTTAATGCATGCTGCCATAAGTACAAAGGTTTGAAAAAATAGATTTTGAAGAAAAGGGGTTACATAATCTTGTAACACTTAAAGCCATAGCAACATACAGTACCTAATTAAGTTATTCTATACTTTCTACTTGTACATATAACTTTATATGTAACTGAGAAGGAAGACAACCTAAAGGTTTAAAACATGAAAAATAAGTACATGTACTAACTTAAATAAGATACTTGTATATTAATTGCTAAAACCATACTTCATGTGGAAACGCACATTGAAGGGTACTTGTCTACAAGTGGCAGCAGTTTTATACCAAAACAATACTGCAAAACAGAAACAACAGCTTCAAATGCATGATGTTATCAATAAGTACAAGTATAGTTGTTTTTCTTTTTTTTTTTTACATTTTTCCTCCTTAGTATACTTCTTAGTCACCAATTTGGTTATGCTATCACATTACAATATTGTAAGGCCATAGTGAAGAATACAAGCAGCTTTTAAAACTGTGCCATGGTTTCACACCAGTGTTCTAGGTCAAAGGCAAGTCAAGCAAGGTCTCATACCAGAGTTAACTAAATCAGCAAATATTTGGCAAACAAGATCATTCTTTTTTTTACAGTTCATGTTATGTGCACAAACTAAAAAATATAAAGTGACTATATTCTAAACGTAATGTTCTGTAGCTTATATGGCTACTTTCATATGATTTGTTACAGTGCATTGAACTGGGCATGTTACAAATTGCATATTATTTTCTGATTGCTACCTTATTCTGTGGGATGCCATTTCTAAGCATTAGCTGAACACTTTGATGATTAGAAAATAATATCACTATCAGTACATAATTCATACACAATAAGGCTGTAATAGTAACACACTGCATAGAGGCCCAGGAAGAGTATATAGTGGTCATGGTTAGCTTCATAGGATACATTTGATGGCAATACTTTCTTTTTCATACATGTCAATCCACTGTCTTCTAGATTATTTGGTACATACATGTATGTAACACTTAGATAGATTTAACACTACTGTTAACTTCTGTTTACTAGTATCTAATTTTGACTCAATTTTATAATTTTGGTGGAATCACATGATTGTACTACATGTATGTTTTCTAGTGTATATTCTTGACACTTGACAATATTTGGCAGATTATAATTGTACCAGTACTACATAATAAGTACCTTTTCTTATTTTGGCAGAGTTCCATATGCTAAAGGTATGTTTTTTTATAATTTTTTGACACACTACATGTATGTCTCCTTTGTATATTCATGACACTTTTAACAATATTTGGCAGAATTTCATCATTACTACATAATTGTAAACCTTTCCTTATTTTGGCAGAGTTTCATATGCTACATGTATTTTTTTTCTTCAATTTTTGACACATTACAAGTTTGGCAGAAAACTTACAACAGTCTAATTTTAAGCCTTGTTAAAACTGATCACCGATGATACACAGGGCTGATCTGAGAAGTTTGAACCTGAGCAAAAATTTGGATTCTTGTCCTTGGAATGATTCAAAAAATTTCTTTTTTTTTTGTTCCTGATCATAGAATCTTCAGCCTTGCTTTGAAGAAAACAAAATTATTTAAAAAAACTGCAACAGGGTTTTGATACTAACCCTTGAGTCTCAACTAAACAGGAATGACAAGAAGTAAAAGAACAAACTAAGCTACAATAAATAGTTTCAAAATATATAAAATCTTTACCTTTTCACCCAGCTAATGTACAAATGTATTACAGTCTATATGTTACTAAAAGCATGGCCTTATACATGTACATGGCACTTTCATATACACCATTAGTAAGCAGTCTCCATGGATAATCTACAATCTTATGTACTAAGTTCCTTAACTATGATTTCCTGTTTTCAAAGTTATTTAATAGCCCAGAAGTTAAGCTGTAATGTACTAGAAAGAACATTTTGCAGATAATTAATAGCTCTGGAATGATTTCATAAAATGTTAATCTTTCTTTGTCATCAAGAAAGATGGAATGGTCTACAATCTCTTCAACATGCAGCAAAAAAATACAAAATACTGCACTGAATTGAAAATCTTGTTTATAACTGAAAAGAAACTGTAAAGTCTACAGTATAAAAAAAAGGAAAGGCATATGGAAAATAACATCATCTGTTGGCAAAACCACCAAGAATAAAACTTCCCGTGACTTCCTCAAGTTTTTTTTTTTGTTGCTTGTACTTTGTTTCTGTAGATCATAAAACACTACATGGTTTCTTTCTAAGTTTTAAAACAAAGAAACACACTGGTCCATAAGGGCGGGTAAAGTTTCATTGACAGCAAGACCAGGTAACTTGAAGTTCTATAAATATTTTGCAGTCTTCTGGTATCTTCTCCTTCTTGTTACTTGAGTTGATCATTTGTTTCTCCTGGTGGCAAGAAGAGAAAAACAAATTAAGAAACATAGTCTGAAATTCAACAAAGCTTCCTCAAGCAAGTAGATTTCAACTAGTATCATGCATTCTTGTTGAGCTTGAGTTTTATTCTACAAGCCAATGAGCACTCACCTTACATATAGTGCACCAATCAGAGGTGCTGTTACTCGGGGTTGTTGTCAGTTCCAGCTCCGATCTGCCCCTCCAGAAACACATGGCTCTCTGCACCGCCATGCCCGTAACCTAGCAACAACAAAATAATAAACAAAACAAATAGTATCACAGGGGTTCCTACAGTTGAAATTTTAGTAAAGGCATCTTTGTTTTGTTTGAAATTTTATCAATATTATAAGTTTAAATATGTCATAAGTTATCTAAAATGTTGTATGTTAGAACTGCTCCAAACATACTGACAAAATTGGTTGGTGCTTCTGGCTACAATTCTAAATTCTGGCTACAAATTCTGGCTACAATTCTAAATTCTGGCTACAATTCTAAATTCTGGCTACAAATTCTAAATTCTGGCTACAAAATCTTTGTTTTGTTTGAAATTTTATCAATATCATAAGTTTAAATATGTCATAAGTTGTCTAAAATGTTGTATGTTAGAACTGTTCCAAACATACTGACAAAATTGGTTGGTGCTTCTGGCTACAATTCTAAATTCTGGCTACAAATTCTAAATTCTGGCTACAAATTCTAAATTCTGGCTACAAATTCTAAATTCTGGCTACGAATTCTAAATTCTGGCTACAAATTCTAAATTCTGGCTATAAATTTTTAATTCTAACATCCTAAAGAAATAGAGATCTTCCTGATCATCACTGAATGGGTGAAACTTGGCAAAAGGATATGGAACCTCACATGAAGATTTTTCTCACCTTTAGGTCCAAACAGGGCACTGTAACATGGCTGGTGACAGTACGGCTTTCCCTCATGCTAAAAACAGATAGAAGTACAGATTTAAATACAAGCATAGACTTCAAAAATTAAGTATAGACTTCAAGTTATTAAGTATAAACTTCAAGAATTAAGAAATGAGAAGAAGAGCAATACACATGTAGTTGACAGTTAACCATCACATACACATATCTGGTGTTACACCCCTCAACTGATCATGAATCTGAAGCTTTTTTTTTCATTTTATCATAGTAATAAAAATATCACTCCAGGGCAGAGACCAACCTACAAATTATACAACCAGTGTTTGAACATGAACTGGCAGTTAACAGTTTAAAAGAACAAGATTTAGAGGTTCCATATTACCTAAGAGCCCAGTCTGTGTCTCTAACCACACGACTAGCTTGTTCAGGCCAGTCTGATATTGTCCAGACCACTGATATGTTTTGCTAGACTCAGGAAGGAAGGTCAGATGGCACTGGAGAGGAACTATGTCTTCTTACATTTGGAAAGTGAATAGACTAACATTTAACTTGAATTAAAAGCTTTGTTGACTCGATTGAGTTTGAATTCTTAGCATCATTTGACTCCACAAAGCATTCCAAATTTGTCATTGATAACTCTTAACCTTAATCTTTCATTCTGGCATCACATTAGAAGTGATGAGAACCACAGAACTACACTAACCATGCCCACAGCTATTACCCTACATTCCCATCTGGTGCAGATTACAGGGCTAATGACAGGCTGTTGTCACCACTAACCACCCAACCATTACTCTTACTCTGATTAGGCTGGACTAACTACATTCTATGGTTCACATCAACTCACCTATATAATAGACTTTGAATTGGGCCATGACTTGCCATACATTGTACCTGTTGCAATTGTTGCGCAATAAAGATTGATTGATTGATTGTAATAATTTTATGGCCGATGAAGCAATATGACACTTGTCTGTCATTTCAAAAAAGAAACTTAATGGCATGCCACTAATTTTTATATTCAATGGAAATTAGGTCGTGTATGGTTTGTATTGATGACTTTTTTTTACAGAAGACTGGTCACGGTTAAAAAATAATAAGAATACTGACCTCTGCGTGACCTCCAGGGTTGAGTTGCCGTTTACACTTGGTGCACTTCAGACACAAACTGTGCCAACTCTTACCCAGGGAGTACTTCCTCTCAGCTGTAGGAGGGTGGGGAGGGAACATGGGTAAACATTTATTTAGACAGTCATACACTGTAAGTCAGAGTCACTCAGACACAGTAAGATTGGAGACACTTCAGACTAGCCTCTAGCAGGCTTCGGAAGGTGGCTGGAAAGAGTAAAAGAAATTGGTAAAATAGAGAGATAAGCATGCCAGGAAGTTTACTGTACTCTCTATCTACTCTCTAGCTGATCAACACCCGGGCATGTTATCTCTCTATTTTCGCTTCTACTCTTTCCAACCGCCTCCCGAAGCCTGGTAGAGGCTAACTTCAGACACATTTTCGATTTTGTGCCAGCTGTTCCCCAAACTCTTACATCACCTGTACTAACCTACATTTGGCCCCCTGCATGAGATATTTCCAGCCCTGATGAGGATTACCTTACAGCCTCTGTTGTTACAACAAATCATGTCACTTTTCTAGGTCAGACAACTTGACACCAAGATGTCTGGATCTTTCGCACCCCCCTCCCGATTCTCCCACTTATCCTAGTTAATGAGAACACCCCCTGGATTCTCTACCCCTTGTCATTGTCAGAACAGCCCCCTTGAGAGCCCTTCATCACCTTTGTGCTGGTGTTCACAACCCCCTTGAGAGCCTCAGTGCCTTTGTAGTAGTGAGAACAGGGCTGTAATTCTGCACCAGAGCAGAACAGAGGCCTGACTCCTGGGGCTGGGGACAATGTAAACCAACTGTTGACAGTCTCAGGCCTAATTCTGTCATGTAGTAATTAGTTCTTCTATTGAGACACATCTTTCCTGTAGCTGTGTAGAATGGTGTCTACAAACTACCCGTACTTCTAACCATGAAGGAAAAGCACTATGAGTACAGTATGAGTGACCGAGATCAACCTAGAACTTAGGTGTATGTTAGATTGTGTCTTCCTGGAGACTAGAAGGAATGTATTATAGGGGCATGACATCTTTTTACCATGTGAAGCTTGATGATCAGTAGTTTTGATGTCTTTCGTACATCACTTTAAAATATGTAAGTAATATGAGCAAAATACTCTCTAGAACTAGAAGTGTTTTCCAAATGACACATCGGCAAGAAAAGTACTGAAGTAGACTTCTCTCAGGAACACATCTACTACTACTCCAAGACTGAGGTGTGTGTGTTGTGCCAACCATTCACATGTCAGTACAAACATGCCACCAGCCAAGATGCACGGATTTCCCAATACCAGACCATGTGGAGACTGTCCTAGTCCCTCTGAAATGGCCTCATACAAACAAAGACGTGTGAACTGTGTATGCTGTGCGAACCATCGAGACTTCAATACACAACCACTCAACTCACACACCCGAATTCCGGAAAACAATGTCCACCCCATTCTATTTTACCTACATGTAATTGTAAACCTGTACTTTACTTTACAAATTCCATCCCTTCCAATATTTGTGGGAAAGTTTAAAAGCTTTCAAGACGACAATTTCTTAGGAAAATAATTCTCAACAAGTTATAGACCCTGTAAAAGACTGTCAGTCAATGTGACTTCACTAGCAACAGTCGAGTGTTCAACTTTCCTGACAACCATAAATTTCATGGCACACAATGACTACTATTTATAGTACCACAAATCAACTTCAATGGTACGTAGTAGTGCCCTTTCAAGTCGACAGTTTCCTTCATGAAGCCAGTTCGTTGAAGAAATGCCTAAAAGACGTCTTGCCCCAGGGGCAGGCTGTGACTAGCCTCTAACAGGCTTCGGGAGGCGGATGAAAGAGTAGAAATTGGCCATATAGAGAGATAGCATGCCAGGGGAGTCAGCCTGCTGGAGAGAACAGTTTGCTGCTTCCGAGCCGACCAAACTCCCCTGGCATGTTAACTTATCTCTCTATTTGGCCGATTTCTACTCTTTCAGCCGCCTCCCGAAGCCTGGTAGAGGCTAGAGGTCTTGCCGCTGTGACAGGCTGTGACAGCAGTGACTTGTGTGTCCTGCATCAACCACTGAGACCTCAGGACAAACAAATGGCCAGCCAAGACACACACTGACTTCCTCCGGTCTAGTAGATGAGGTCACTCCACAGGGCTGGAAATACTGGGTGTGTGCACCTTAGTGCACACACAATTGGAGCTGCGCACCAAAATTTGTTTTCTGTGGACCAGTGCACCCAAACATTTTTGTAGGTAGTTTTGTACATATTAAAAGTGTAATAGTACACAGGATATTCTTGGCATCTAAGTGCCAGAAAAATAATAAAACTTTTGTTGAAGTAATTACTTGTTTAAGATTTGGAAGTTAGCTCCCATTTTAGATTCAAGCTCAGAAGAGGAGCAGTAAGATTTGTAATGAGTTTTGTTTCATATGGTGCACGAAAAACTTTTCTGTGCACCTAATTTTTTAGGTTGGGTGCACCAGTGCACCTATTCCCAAAAATGAATTTCGAGCCCTGCTCATATCCCTTTCCTATGGGGCTATCTCTAAGTAAATCATAGCGGTTTCACTGGCAAAAATTGAATAAAAATGCAGGCTATCACACAGGCTTTCAATTGAAACCGTTCATAAGAATGGGTAAGGGAAACTAGGGGTAAAATTTACGAGTTGAAAGTGATTTGAGACTTTGTTGTTGTGCATTTTTCCGTTCACGTTGTTTTGATCAAAATCTTGGACCCCAAAAATCTTGATCTAACTTCTTCTAACGTCAAGTCCAAGACACATCGTGATTAGGTTCAAATTTGACCCATGTAATCGTAGAACTCATCAATTAAACAGCCTAAAGCCTTGCCGTGTTGGTAAACGCAATCTGTGAGCTTCTAGAGTGACGTTAAATCTAGTTTAACGGACACAAATTAGGGTCTGACCGAGAAAACAAAAACCCCAAGCGGGCACTGAGCCAAACGTCAACCTCTTGAAGACGCTGCCAAAAAATTGATAAAGCAAGAAAAAAACACGAAGTTTTCGCGCACTCACCGAAGTACACCACCTTCCTGCAACTCGGGCACACGTCTGACATATTGGCGAGGGTGGTTTTGAGGAGAAAGCGGCAGAAATCTGCTTTTTTGTGGAAGTTTTTCTGACTTCAGTCCGCCCTGTTTTTGCCGCCTCTGTGATTTGAAACGCCGAATGACGGAAGTTTGCACACGGCACTATTGGCCCAGTCCAATAAGCAAATCAGGTGAAAAAAATAAATTCTTTTTAAGCAAAGATGAAAATCCATAATTCTGTAGTACAATATTGAAATAAAGTCTATTGTCTTTACTTGATATAATTTTTTACTTAAATAACCTAATGTTTTTTATTATGTATGATAATAGTAATCAGTGCAATTCCCCCGGAATTTGAAAGTGGTAGAATCTAAAACCTGACGTCATACACCCCCACTGCGCAAGTCCAGTCTTTGTCGTTTTTCTGAGTCGTGACGTTCTTAGGAGAAACCGTGAAGACTTTCTGCCTTTCTTGTCAGTTTTAAGAACATAAAAGCCACGGTAAGTCATTCTTATAACATTTAACACCTTCTTAGCTGTTTATACCCTCCTAAAAACTGTCTATGTCAAATATAGAGGACAATAATTAGCGTTGAAGCGAAACACTGACATCCAAGATGGCGGCTGAAAAATCCGTTGTTTGGTGCAGGTTGTTGTTCGGCTGTGGAGACGATTTTGTCATCACGTATTTATAACCTTACGTCACTCTGAAGTGTTGTTGTATATTTGTAGGCACGTATAGTGCTAGAAACGGTCCACGGGGCGTCTGTTTTAGCAAAAAAAGCCAGCTCGTATGAGTTATTTTGTGGTTGTCCTAAGCAACTGAGAAAACACAGAAAATTAACATTTTTCAATGTAAACATTGCTAAAAAATGATGCAAAATCGCACTGAAACACAAAAATGCGAAATACAACATGTTTTACTAACATTTTTAGAATCGGAGTGGTGTAATCTGTAGTTAATCTGCATGGTAAATTTCTAAGTGACTGGTATGTCTCAAGAAATTTATATAGTGATGACTCATAAGTCACACATTTGGATTATCTTGTGCTGGAACTTGGAAGTTAGTCAAGTGTGAAGACTTCGCAAAACACTTGACGTGGGCTCTAGTGACGTAGCAGTAGCGCATTCGGCTCAGGACCAAGAGGTCCCAGGTTTGAATCCTACCCATGTCACCGATCTTCTGCCCTTGGGAAAGGCACTTTACACTACTTTCCTCACTTTACTCAGGTGGAAATGAGTACCTAGTTTCGGCTAGGGACGTCCCTCAGATAGGACGTTAAATGGAGGTCCCGTGTTTGGGAGAGCCACACCCCACGCACATTTAAGAACCCACCACACTTATCGAAAAGAGTAGGGGACCTTCCCAGTGTCAGTGGTTCAAACCTTACAGTCCAGTCTTACGCAGCTTGTACTTACATGTACAAAACTGATGTGTTAGTAACTTTACCGGTTATGTGAAACAAACAAGCAAATAACCTTCACCAAATGACCAAACTTTACCTTTTATCTCCTGTTTAGATGCCGAACATCAAGCTTCAGAGCTCAGACGGGGAGATATTCGAGGTGGACGTGGAGATCGCCAAACAGTCTGTCACCATCAAGACTATGTTAGAAGGTAAAAACTGGTTGTAGACAAATGGAGAATTAGTCATTCATTCAAGTACCAGAGTTGTCAACAGTCTACCTGCAATGTGAACCAGTCAGAATTGTCCTGAGGAAAGTGACAGACAGTCACCGAAACGTCGGCTGAATAAAAGACTTGGTTGTGTAAAAAGAGTCTCTTTACTCAGTATCCAGTTACCAACCTGATGAAACTATTCACGGATCTATCTGTAAATTTTCAACGCAATTCAGTTGTGTCTGAAGTGATTCAACATGTCTTCATTGTTGAATTTAAAGAAAGATTTGATTTGGGGTGGTCTGTATTGTTCATTTGTTTACATTTTGTTGTTGTTCTGTGTTGTTTATTGTTTGTTAGTGTTATTTGTTGTTTATTTGTTTACTGTTTGTTGTTACTAGACCTGGGAATGGACGAGGAGGGAGATGAGGAGCCCATCCCCCTGCCCAACGTGAACGCAGCCATCCTGAAAAAAGTCATCCAGTGGTGCACACATCACAAGGTAGGCCCCACAAACAAACACACACATACAGACACGCACACACACACACCAGTGGTGCACACATCATCAGGTAGGCACCTTAACATACACACACACACACACTCACGCACACACACACATACACTCCAGTGGTGCACACATCACAAGGTAGAGTCGGATGTTTGTTGGTTTGAGCCATTGTATACACATGTCACTTTTTGTTTTCGGTTACAAAAGTTCATGGTCTGAGAAAAATGGACATGTCTGTGGAACTTTACGTTCGTGGTGGCAGCAGGTGCAGCAAAAATAAAGTTTGTGAATGATTTGTTCATGGTACATGTAATGATAAGTTCATGGTACAGAAGTGAAAGTGAAAACAGTGAACATAAAAGAATAGGGAAAAAATCAGGAATTACAGTACTATTAGATATTTTTTCTCTTTTTTAAGTAATTTGCTCAGTACAAGGCCAAGAGACCACTTCTAGACACTGAACTAAGTTCAGGTTACTGACCCAATAGGAGAAGCAGGGGTTACAAAGGCTGCTCGGAAAGATACCCTATCCCATTTAGACTGAAATGGTTCGATCCATCCTGAGGATTACCTGTTTTCATGTTAGAACATTACCATTACTTTTTTATGAGCTGTTCTATTAAATGTCACACCTCCCCCCTGTTTGTGCTGTTCCACCAGGATGACCCACCCCCACCGGAGGATGATGAGAACAAGGAGAAGCGGACAGACGACATTCCTGTGTGGGATCAGGAGTTCCTGAAAGTGGACCAGGGAACGCTGTTCGAGCTTATATTGGTTAGTACTTATGTAAAACCAGGGAACGCTGTTCGAGCTTATATTGGTCAGTGCAACATTTCTGATGTAGAAAATGTAGAGAATAAACAAAGAAGTACAGTCAAACCTGCCCTAGAAGACTACTCGGGACCAATACAATCTGGTCTGTGTGGACAGGTGGTAGACAGGATTGTTATTGCTTGTGTCAATGGGAAAAATTTTGGAAAGGGGCCACCAAAAAGTGGTCACAATGTCCAGGTGGTCCTTATGTAGAGGTGGTCACATGTACAGGTTTGACTGGATCTGTGTTTGTGTGGCCGGGCAACTTGTCAAGATGTTGATGCACCTGTTTTCCCTTCACTTCCACATTGTGGTCAATTCTAACTATGAATAACTATGAATTCTAAACAAGCTGGTGTGATACACCGAAGGCTGGTTATACTGGCTATAGTGGTACAGATGAACATAGATTCTGTTCCGTTGTGCCCTTCAGACATGAGCTTGTTTGTTTATATTTGTTTGTTTGTTTGTTTGTTTACTCCAGGCTGCTAACTACCTAGACATCAAGGGTCTACTAGATGTGACCTGTAAGACGGTAGCGAACATGATCAAAGGGAAAACGCCGGAGGAGATCCGCAAAACTTTCAACATCAAGAACGACTTCACAGAGGAGGAGGAGGCTCAGGTAAGGGACATGCAACATAGACAATCATGGCAGACAAATCTCAATCATCATTATGTTTACCGAAGGAAAAGTTATTGTTTTTGCTACATTTCCTCTTTTTCTTCTTCTTCCCTTCCAAACACTGACCTCTGACCTGGCCAATGACCTGATTTGTTGATGTCTGTCACCATGGTAACTGGTGTCGGGTTACATGGGTTATATCATGTTGCAATTTTATCAGTAGGAGGGATTTATACTCCTGTCTGACCTTATATGTGAATGTGTTTGAGTAAGAATTAACAGAGCAGACCATATGCAAAGGTAAACATCATGCATTTGCTTTGCAAATGTTAACTTTCTAGTTAGAATATCAATCATTACAGATAGATGTCAATCATCACTGACAGGTGTCAGTCATTTTAAACAGGTGCCAATCATCACAGATGTCAATCATTGTACATCAGTCACTCGTCATAGATGTCAATCATTGCAATTATTCTGACAGTTTCAAGTTATCATTCAATTATGCATAAAGATCTAAACCATCATTATGTTACTGGAACTTAATCATTGCAAAAATGTATTCATTCCTTAATTTCCATGTTTGTTTATTTATTTATTTGTTTGTTTCAGGTGCGGCGGGAGAACATGTGGTGTGAAGAGAAGTAGAGTCGCTGCCCGTCTTCGTTAGCGTTTTTCCTCGTTAGTGATGTAAATACAAGGGTTCATCTGGTGTTCCGCACGGGAGCTTTCACACACCCTCCCCCACACGCATATATGAACTGTCCCCGTTCTCATACTCCCCCTACACATATATATGTACCATCCCTGTTTAGAGTTAAAACTTCAGATCCAACACGAAGAAGTTCTCTCACCTAGAGCTTTCGGCCAGTCACTCTGGTCTTCCTCAGTAGACTGACCCGGTGAGGCTTGTCATGTGGCCTCTTTGTCAACACTGGGTCAAAGCCTCAAAGGTAGACGATGTCGGCCCCCGTCGCGGTTCAGAACTTTTTTGTGTTGGATCTTAAGTTTTAACTCTAAACATGTAATTACCAACACAGATGAACATTTATGATAGTATGAAGCATCCCTGTTGTTATATGAGCATATAAATTCATAAAACATAAGTCATACCCATGCCTTATAGCACACACAACTTCCCAGGCTACTTTTGATTTAGCTGTATTCAGGATGAGAGTAGCACGTGAATAGTACAGAAGTAGCACAATGCATAGGAAGGTGTCACACTTTGTGCCTGTTGGTGCAAAAATATAAGTTTTCTGTACAGAAACTGTGGGTGTGATATTTGTGAGAAGAGGAGACTAGAGTAGAAATATTTGTGTCTCTTGTCTGCATGGTATGTAAGAAAGGATGTTAAATTGGGACTTTGTTACAGACTTCAGGTAGAAAATTCGCAGTTGCAGTTTGCAAAAAAAATATATATGTTAGCGACTTGCAATTTCATTCATACACAAATGTCAGAAAAAAAGAAACAAGGTACATTTGTTCTTTTAAACCGGAGTGATCTCAATTTTGGCTATTCCATTTATGAGTCCTCACGGGGTGGTCAGAAGCCCCTCTTTTATTTTATTGCCCCCCCCACACACACTTGTGATATAGAACATTCATGCCCCCCCTCCACTTCCCTTCATGTTTACATCAAAACCAATGAATAAAAACAACCATCAGAAGTAAAATATCACGTGTCTCTGACAGTTCAGACAACAAAGAGAGGTTACCTATAGAGGGTCTTTGTAGTTTCTTGTACATTATCTACTGTGGCATGGAATTATATCTGTATCTGTAGCCTGGTTACCAAACCTATTATAGCTCCCGAGTCAGTCTCACTATTTACTGAGAGGATATAGGACTCGGGAGCTATAATAGGTTTGGTAACCAGGCTATTGTATCTGGATATCTGGCCTGGATTCTAACTACCACACAGCACTGAGGAAGAAATCAGGGTACTGCAGTGTGTTCAGGTTTTTCTGAGTGCTGTAAGGTATAAATGTAGTCTCTAACTAACTCTTTTAGTCTGGGTACCATCCGGATTTTGGCTCCTGAACTCATATCCAGATTTTGGTGTTGCGGAGCCAAAATTCAGATGGTACCCAGGCTAGAACTCTTTAGGTTGTTGGAAAAATTGTAGAGTAGGCCAGAGGAGTTAGCCAACTGTTGAGATATGACTTGCACCCTGTCTATACTCCAATGAATGGCAAAACCCTTGGATGAAAATATTCCCCACTTTGGTCAATTTCTACAATTTTTTAGTTCCCCAAAACGCCTGATAGAGGCTACATTAAGAATCTTAGTACAGGTATCTGCCAGATCTAAGATTTCATGTCAAGTAAGATTGTACCAGCAAAGTTTGACAGCAGAAAAGTATGTCTATAGTATACTCATAATACTGTAATGTTTGATATGTATTATGTATGTTCTGAAGGCCTTACTATTATTATGTGAGCACAGCTGTACTAGCTTGCCTACTCTGCAGTGTAAAAAAAACACCCCCGTTTCAGTTTTAGTATGTTCCACTTTGCTCAGCATGATATAAGATGGCAGGTCATTCCATTTTACACGTAGGGGGTGCTTGAGTTTGTTGTTGTAAGACTTGTGAGTTTTCATTAAATGGTATTACTGCGTTGAAGATGCTGGTTTTGTGCCTATTTATTCAGCTACAATTAGATTGTAATGTGTGCATCAAACCATTATAGTAAAAGGGTAAGACAGGAGTATGGTTTGTATTGTGCATTGACACGTAAATTAACGCCCTCTGGCGTAAATCGTTATACTACAGGTGAATAAGCACGTAGATACCTCAAGCGGTCGAGGTCAAGTAAACAGATACTAGTACTGTACATGTAGATGCACCGATGTCAAGTCACATACACGGTTGCCACGTTAGAGAACTTAAGGTCAAGTTCACAAAAAAAATGGGGATAATCGTACTTGTCTGACTGAGTCCCTTTCCTCATCTTCCATAAAATCGCTTTGGCAATCGGAGACCAATGTTATTAAGTATAGCAGCCATCAGAAAACAGCAAATCAGAAAAAGTCTAATCATTTCGAGGTCTCATCATGACCTACCCAAATACGCAATATCAAGACAAGTCATCCAAGCCTTCTCGGGTTATCGCATTGTTTACAGACGCACACAGGCACGCTGTCGAAAACATAACCTTGGCGAAGAAGAAGGGGAAAAACGGAGCGAGAACACAGAGCGGCAAACTGTGTTCTCCAGCAGACCAACTCCCCCGACATGTTATATCTCTCTATCATGTCTATTTGGCCGATTTCTACTCTTTCCAGCCGCCTCCCGAGGGCTGGTAGAGGCTAAATGGACCCTCTCTGGCCGGCCAACCCCTCTGGCCTATAAACTCTTTTTACACCGATTTTGTTCTATTTATTCAGCCCGCAAAGGAGTCTGGTGGAGACTATGCGGCAGCTAGAACCCGTGTAGACTGGTCCTGGTATGACGTGACGGGTTTGCGCGTGTGGCTGTTTACCCATGATGCACCTGTCCTGTCAATCATAATAAATATGTCCGCAGTTAACCCCGAGACGAGGACGGACAGATGGTGACATACCAGGGACGGTTACGTGTCAGTGACTGTCGGTTCTAACCGGCTTCTCCAGTTATAATACTAGTATACACGAGCGTTGACTGGTTCTACCAGTTCGTTCTAGTATAGTGACACTGAAGAAGAGTGATGGATGTTACTGGAAACGTCCGGAAGTATTAAATCTCCGTATTCTGTCCAGTAGTAGAGTTTCAATTGTATGAGTATCGCTACAAGTTTGAATCAAATAGTCCACAATACCCTTACCCAAGGACATTATACACGTCCTTGCCTTACCTTACCTTAGACCTTAGATCCTCCCGCAACCTTGTTGCATAGGTCGACTCCTTGTCTGAAAATAGTCCACAATGGATGTTAATAATCTTACTAATCAACGTATTTGAAGACTTTGGAGGTAAAAAAAACTTGTTGCCAAGCTTTTAATGATTTCAAAGGTTAGAACAACTGGCTAGCTGAGACTGTCGCATTAGGTTTTATTGCGTGCTCATAGATTTGACCTATGCAATATTGCTTGCTACGGACTACCCTACGGATATTTTTTATATAGCGAAAAACTACCACCACAAACAGTTATTTTCGGTTCAAGGCGTTGTTTAAATATAATATATTTTGCCAGCCCAACATCAGCTATGTGAAGGCCGAAGACCTAATAATATCACCCTGCATGTCGCAACTCTTTTGCTATTGTTCGACGCAGTTGTCTCATCTAGTGATGGCTATTTTCGTGCCGCGCCCCGCGCCTTGGATATTCCCGACACAGAAAAGCACCCCCGGCATTCCTACAACAATAAGCGGCCAATTCCGACGGAATCTTCGGCAATCTGTTCCGCCGAATGTTTCCCGCATATCGCGCGCGTTTTGCCGCATATTTTCCCCGGGGTGGCCGGCCGCCGGACCCCGCTGGTGTTTTCATTGTCACTCGATCCGCGCGTGCGGGAACATAGCTGTGCCCGTATAAGGGAGACACTCGCTCACTCATCCAGGCTTTTCTACGAAAATTCATTTCGGGAAATGCGCGATAATTTTGTATTTTCGCTCCTGTAACAACTTTCCGGAGAGTATAAAAAGAGGCGACCGAGGCTCAGTTCGGTAGAACCACGACTCGAGTCTTCACTGAACGTTACAGGTACGTCTTGTCTTTTATTTCTTTATCCTGTGCAGCCCAGGCTTTGGGTCAGGGTGTGATACATGTATTGATATCATACTTATGAAACCGTATCACTAGCACTTGGTGTCATGATCACTGCCATCCGATTTGCTATGGGGCCGGGGTATCTCCCGAAACATGTAGCGAGTATGGGAGCTCAAGTATACCAAGTGGGATGGCACACAGGCTTGACACTTGCAATTGATCGTTTTCTGTCCCGTTTTTTTTTTCTTGACAAACAGCCAAGCTAAATATTCTATCATTTTACCTCTGTTTCACCGTAAAATCCATCGTAACGCAGTGTTATGTACGTATTTCCACAGGCTATATACCGTTTAACCCGCTGTAACCGTTGTTATATCCGTATTTTTGCAGTTTATATAGTAGAGTAGATCAGAAGCTAAATCGGTCGGGTAGGACGTCTGTCCAGTTTGGACCACTCCTTTTTACGTCTCGTCCAGCCAACCGCCAGGGTTGGCAACCATACAAACCACCGTAACCGTTGTTTTGTCCGTATCATTTTCAGTCTATACCGCATACCCCGACCCTAACAGCTTTTATATTCGTATTTCCACAGTTTATACCGTACAAGCCACCCTATAACCCTTCACCATGTTGGATGACGAGGAAGAAGAAGCCACCGCCCTGGTCTGCGACAACGGTTCCGGCATGTGTAAGGCGGGGTTTGCGGGTGACGACGCCCCGCGGTCCGTGTTCCCGTCTATCGTCGGCCGGCCTCGGCACCAGGGAGTCATGGTCGGCATGGGGCAGAAGGACGCGTATGTGGGGGACGAGGCGCAGAGCAAAAGGTATGGCTTAATAATGTATTTAAAATGTATATGTATAAAGGATGTATATAGCGCCTGTCTCGTCCGTTGTAATTTGTAATTTGTGTGTGCAAAGTCTTTTCAGTTCAGGGAGTTTTATCCCTGCTGTAAGGTTTGCTTTTTAGTGTCACAAACAAATAGACTTACATTTCCAAACCGGGGCCCTGCCGGGCTGTTTGCGGGAACATAAACGATTCATATCAACAATATACACAAATAGTGTTTTGACCAACAATATCATTTTATATTTAAACCTCCTTTATGACAAATTTTTCAATTCTTTGTCTTTTATATTACATTTTTCGTTCTCGAAATGGCTAAAGTGGACTTTTGAGTAACATTAAAACATATTCGGTAGAATTTTTTTTATTAGACGATCCTGGAGTTAAGCGATATTCTATTTCCGAAACTGAAAATATTCTCGACAACAAAACATTCATGTTAAAGGCATATGCAGCCACTTCTTAGCATCCTTGCATCATTATTTCGTATTTTTGGCTCTTGTGAATTGAACTGAAACCGTTATTTCCCGCCTTGCAGAGGCATCCTGACTCTGAAGTACCCGATCGAGCACGGCATCGTGACGAACTGGGACGACATGGAGAAGATTTGGCACCACACCTTCTACAACGAGCTGCGAGTCGCTCCCGAGGAACACCCGACTCTGCTCACAGAGGCGCCGCTTAACCCTAAGGTACGGACATAATCAAGACATGGTATCAATCAATCAATCAATCAATCAATCAATCAATCAATCAATCAATCAATCAATCAATCAATCAATCAATGAATCGATCAATCAATTAGCCAATTGTAATTAGCCAACTTAGCAATGTCATCAATAAACTTGAAGACAGACTGATATACTCTCTGTATATGACAAAGAATCTGTGATCATTGACGTCGTTTTTGCTATCATTACGCGCCTTTACATATTTTCTTAATACGAAAGTATTGTTTTGGGTGGCTGACTTGTGAGTTTGATTGTTTTATGTTCTAGTAGCGAAGGTTACAGCGGTATGTTGAGAAATTCACTCCGCAATTACAAGAAATTCACGAAAACCCCAACTTGGATTGCAAAACACCAACGGGTGGTCTGAAATAACAGATTTCATGGCCACGTCACAGCTTGGCAGCTGTCTCATGGACGCTGACCAACATGTATCTGATATACGCAAATACCTCGATGACCCTGACTTCTGACCTGTATTCCCCTGCAGGCTAACCGTGAGAAGATGACGCAGATCATGTTTGAGACGTTCAACACGCCCGCCATGTACGTGTGTATCCAGGCCGTGCTGTCCCTGTACGCCTCTGGCAGAACAACAGGTACAGAAATGACTTTATTTCTTTATTCTGTTTCTTCCACTACACGAAAAGTGTTCAGGGTTTACCAATTACGATAAATGACAGGTAAATTTAGTAATGTTTGCTTTTGACGATTACGCCTTAGGCAGGACCACAGGTACAGCAACGTCCTTCTTCAACGTCTTCCATCAATAACATTAAATGCTATTCAAATCTGCTAATGGTTGCTTTTGGCATTTAATGATTTGGGTAACCGTTTCCAGACGTGAAAGTCAAACCTACCTGGGACATAATCATGTACTAGCTCAAATCCAAAAACGTGCACGAGAGTTGCGATCACTACACTTGGGGGGATGTTTTATCTATAGCCGAGGAACTGGCCTGTGTAGGCCCTGGAAACATTCTGGCACCCAGGATAGCATGTTGGCCCTGGAGCCAAGGAGCTTGGTTGTCACTGTGGTGGAACTGGAAATAGTCTGACGTCCAGGCTAGCATGGTTGTGAGGGCCCTGGATACAGTCTGGCACCTAGGCTAGCATGAAGCCCATAGAGCTGGCCATTGTAGACCCTAGAAGCACCCAGACTATCCTTTATATCGTCTTGTCGACATGATCTGACCGTTTCTGTTCGTTTCCCCAGGTCTGGTGATGGACTCTGGTGACGGCGTGTCCCACACCGTGCCTATCTGCCAGGGTTATACCTGGTCCTAGAGCTGACGTCTTTGTCTTTATACTGACCGTTTCTGTGTTGTGTTTTGCTGCCCAGGTCTGGTGATGGACTCGGGAGACGGCGTGTCCCACACCGTGCCTATTTACGAGGGTTACGCCATGCCTCACGCCATCCTCCGGCTGGACCTGGCGGGAAGGGAGCTCTCAAACTACCTGATGAGGGTCATGTGCGACCGCGGGTACTCATTCGTCACAACAGGTGGGTATTTCCTCAGCCTAAGTTTGTGGCAAACTTCTCAGAATGGCTATACGCGGAAAAGGCGCAAATCTACTACTAGAACGCATAGTCTCTATACCAGACTCCTTTGCAGGCTGAATAAAGAGTAGAAATCGACCTAAGAAGAAATGTAGCTGGCCAAGGGGATCCGGAGTTAGCCGGCCATAGAGGGTACAGACATAGATAGAGAGTCTGGTGGCCCGCCAAAGTAACGCCGCCAGGACTGGATTCTGTGTTTGTAGTTGTGTACCATGAACTATCTTCCATCAGTTACTCCGATAGCACATATTTCCCTAACCACCACAGACAGTTGATTCTAACTTCGGGAAGATATATCTGTACTGAGTTCTATCTTCTCCCCACACAGCCAAACGTGAGATAGTCTGTGACATTAAGGAGAAGCTGGGTTACGGTTAGCTTTAGGGTTAGGCTATGGTTACTCCTTGGTTAGAGTTTGAATAGTGTTAGGATATATGTACTAAGTTTTACCCTGTTTCTCCACAGCTGAACGTGAGATAGTCCGTGACATTAAGGAGAAGCTGGTTACAGTTAGGGTTAGGGTTATCATGGTTAGAGGTTAGTGTTAGGATATCTGTACTAAGTTTTTTTTATTGTTTTCCCCCAGCTGAACGTGAGATAGTCCGTGACATTAAGGAGAAGCTAGGTTACGTCGCGCTGGACTTCGAGCAGGAGATGCTGACTGCCGCCACCTCCACGTCTCTGGAGAAGAGTTACGAGCTGCCGGACGGACAGGTCATCACCATCGGCAACGAGAGGTTCCGCTGTGCTGAGGCGCTCTTCCAGCCGTCTTTCCTGGGTAGGTCCATCAATCAATCAATCAATCAATCAATACACCAGTCAATCGATAAGATTGATCATTACAGGAAAAAAATCAAATACTAGTATGTTCCTTCTTATGGTAGCCACTAAGTTAGCTTCGTACTGAGAAGCCATGCCATATGAGGGCACATCCCCCGTGAACGAGGACACTAACAGTCTTCTTCGATGACGAAGGACTACCAAAACTAAGTTAGACCTAGACGTAAATTGGTAACATATAGTCATTTTTTAAAATACCAATTGGCCTTGTCTTTCACACTTACACAAGTCAGTTATTTATGTTTCCTTCCAAATCGCGCTTGCTTTTCCTTCGTATCTGTGTACCGGAAACTTGTAACTGACGTTAACACAAGGGCAACGGTTAATAATCCCAGAAATGTGGCCAAGCAGAAATAAGAAGTTAGGAGAAGTTCTAACCCATGCCCCCCTCCCCCCCCTCAGGTATGGAGTCTGCCGGCGTGCATGAGACGTGTTATAACGCCATTATGAAGTGCGACATCGACGTGCGTAAGGACCTGTACGCCAACACCGTGCTGTCCGGCGGCACCACCATGTTCCCGGGTATCGGGGACCGCATGCAGAAGGAGATGGTGGCCCTGGCACCCAGCACCATGAAGATCAAGATCATCGCTCCTCCCGAGAGGAAGTACTCCGTGTGGATCGGCGGGTCCATCCTGTCTTCTCTCTCCACGTTTCAGACCATGTGGATCACAAAACAGGAGTACGACGAGTCAGGCCCGGCTATTGTGCACAGAAAGTGCTTCTAATGTATTCCCTACAAACTGTTAGGATAGTTTCTATCTGTCATCGTATTCCCTCCAAACTATAGGCTAGTTTCGTTCTGTCATTGTAATCTGCAATCTTGCATTCTGTCAATCCCTCTCATTTCATCTATCCCTTCGTCTTGATTCTTTTACCATTGAAGCACCACAGATGTTCTGACAATCAATTTTCTTTATCCTTTTCGGTTGTTTGTCCATCTTTGCCCATCACGTTTCATTTAGTGTCGCGCCTTATCCTCTCATCGTACTCCGACTTCACCAGACCCTGTCTCATGTAGAAGATTCATGTTTTGTCTCCACGCAACCGCATATGTGCTATTACATCGTTCCTTGTGTAACATTATCTGTGAATGAATCTATTTCTGATGTATCTTCATGGAAATGACATTTTACTGACTTGTAGGCGAATCGTTTCAGTAAAGACTAGTAGTCAGTGTAGCAATGTTAGATTTAGTCGCCACAAACATCCTTGTAATGTGACAAATATGCTGAAAAGATCCTTACTAGCGTTGTATTTAAATAGCTGCCATATTTCGGGCTGTGGACACGCTACAACGAGGGTAGTTTTATTCCATAACAAGACGACTCAAAAACAGTGCTACTATGTACCGTATCCAAGGATCTGGCTTAGATGACATGTGTGTATCTGAAGAATTCATGTAATCATGTCGATATCTCGGACCAAACTATATATTTGTAACTCTGATATCTGGAAATAAATATGACATATTCCGCGGAACTGGTGCGTGTGTGTATGTGTGTTCCTGTAGCCTAGGCTGTTATTAGTAAAACATAGCAAACGTTTCAATTAGAATATATAAATTTTAATCTATGAGCCTGGAAGCGAAGAAGAATATTGTTAATGTTATTGCCACATACACTTGGAATAATATGATATTTCTATTCTATGGGTGCCCAACAAAACCATAACATATGATATGTAACTTAAGACTATACAACATTCACTTATCCTGATCCACGCGTAACACTGGTGGACTGATACTGCCTCCTAGCAGCGACTGTTGGTACTGCAAGTGACGTTGCCTCTTTTGGCCTGCCGGTCTTGTCATTCCAGGGCGGCTAAAGATAGAAGTGCATGACATAAGGTCGGGTGACGCGGGTTATCGGCCAGTGCATGTTCGTCTGGGAGAACCGTGTTTATGCCTGACAGTTTGTACTCCTTATAATACCCAAGGACCAGGCTGTTTCTTTGCCAACAGACTTGGAACTCGGATAATGGCTTGTTCATCAGTACAGGAATCAGTACTTTGTTATGGGTGAATTTCGAAGGGACTGCGAGACCACTGGAGCCGTCAGCCTGCCACCCGACAGTGATCAGTGATCACTAAAGGTTACGCATCACTGAACGTTGCCTGAGTACGTATAGTCTATAGAAGTGTCATTTGTATACGTGCAACGAGGAAGGAAAATGCTGTGTTGACAATAACCTTCTCTGCACGTTGTGATAGAAGGTGATGGTTCGAAACGTCAAACGTTTCTGACGGCTATATATATATCAATCAGCTGGTGACAGTTACCATCACCATGGCAACGATTGACGCTGATGAGGGGGACGCCGACCGTCTGCAGTACAAATTCAATGGCGACGGAGACTTGCACTTCCGGGACAAAGGTCATGCCTCTCGGATCATTTCCGGGATCCTCGACTCAGGCGAGTCCACCAGTTTCCAAGATCTTGTTCGGGAAACACTCACTGAAATCTCTCTGAAGTCTGACAACACAGAGGAAGATTTTGACCGTGACACGACCTCGTACCATCACGCTACAGTCTTAGACATTTTCCGGGAATTCAGGAGGACGGGACGTCACTGTGACGTCACGCTGTGCGTCGGTGAGCGAGCTATCCCATGTCACCGTGCGGTCCTGGCCGCCGGAAGTCCGTACTTCAAACTCTTACTTCTCGGAGGCTTCGCGGAGAGCTGTCAAGAGAGGGTTCGCCTGGAGGAGGTTTCTGCCGAATCGGTCGAGCGAATCGTCTGCTACGTTTACAGCGGTTGCCTGACCGTGTCACGTGGCACAGCGGAAGAGTTGCTACACAGCTCCACCATGTTTCAACTTCCGGCGGTAACAGAAGCATGTTGCAGGTTCTTCCTTTTTTTTCAAAATCTTAATTGATAACAAAGTAAAAAATTTACAAAATATGTACAAAATACTAGTATACACATACAACGGAATACAAAAGTACAGTTGCAGCCTATACTAGTATATAGGACATCTCAAATAAGTAAAGTGTACCATAAAATCATAAATTGTGCTTCATCTGACCTCTGTCTGCATCTTATCTTTAACCTGTTTAAAGTTGAAACTTTTGGACCAACACAAAGAAGTTCTCTCACCTAGAGCTGTCTACCAGTCACTCTGGTCTTCCTTAGTAGACTGACCCAGTGAGGCTTGTCACGTGGCTTCTTTGAAGTGTAATGTCAACACTGGGTCAAAGGTATCTTGTAGACGATGTCGGCCCCCGTCGCGGTTCAATGAAGGATGATGGGCCTCCTTCACCCTCTCAAGAAAAAGTCTTGTTCAATGTCTAAAATCCTTACAGTGTCAAGTGAAACAAAGTGTCCGGGTGACTCTATGTGGATGCGTTGTGACATCTCTGAACTAGTACTATTATCTTTTAACATGTTGCAGGTTCTTCCTGCATAACCTAGACCCTGAGAACTGCTTCGACATCCAGGCCCTGGCGGAGTCGTACTACTGCTCGGAGCTTGCCAAAGACGTCAGAGGTTACGTCATGAACAACTTTCCCGCCATTTCCAACACGGAGCGGTTCGAACTCCTGACCTGCGGAGAGTTGGTGGACATTCTGACGAGTAAGACCTGCCATTGGTCAAAGGAGACGCTGCTAGAATCCGTCCTAAATTGGGTGAAATCTTCAAAAGACGAGAGACTTGGGGACCTACCGGTACTACTTTCCAAGTTGGATCTAAGGTTGATCAAAGAAACGTACCTTGAGAACGTGTTACGGAGAGAACGCGTCTTGACCGAGTCTGAAGAAAGCGCAAAGATCGTCGCAGCAGCGAAGACGGCGATAGAAGACTTGAAGCCTAAGGAGGGTGATACCGAGGTTATCGTGCAGGTAGGAGGGCTGAGCGGCAGTGAGAAGGTGCAGAACACTCCCGGGGTGTACGGTAACGCTACCGACAAGATCACTGAGGTGAGGGTTGTATCCAGAACCGTGCTTTATCCAGAACCGTGCTTTATTCAGACCCGTGCTTTATCCAGAACCGTGCTTTAATTATCCAGAACCGTGCTTTATCCAGAACCGTGCGTGCTTTATTCAGCATCGTGATTTTTCCTGAACCATATGCATGCTTTGTCTAGAACCGTGTTTTACCAGAATCGTGCCGCCTTTTATCCAGAACCGTGCTTTTTTCCAGAACCATGCTTTATTCAGAACTGTGCTTTATCACAATGATCCAGACCTATGCTCAGGCACGGTTGGATATCCAGAATTGTGCTCAAGGTATCTACGTTCTTTGATACCTAGAGACTATCCAGAACCGTGTCTGATCTTAATTTACCCTAACCCATTCAGAAATAGAACTAGATAGGGAGGGTTCTGGATACGATAGAAGTAGTAATGGCGCTATGCCATTTGGATAATAGTACATGCATCTTAACTATGGAACGTAGAAGTATCTTGTGTATAATCATGACTACACGTACCTGTCCAGGTGGACTGTCTGGACCCGGCCACCATGCGTTGGGCGTCGCTTACACACCTGCCGGGACACCTGAAGTACTTCACGCACAACGTCACCGCGTCAGACGCCGACGTCTACGTCCTGGCGACGTCAGAGGACGAACAGGTGACACAACCTTTGCACATCTAACGTTTTTGGCGATGCCGCTGTTTCTTCTTCTAACTCTTCTCCTCCTTCTTCAAACAAATAAGGTCAATGACCTGAACCAGACGTCTGTTACCATGGTAACTAATGTTGGGTTACATCATGTTGCAATTTTGTAGCAGAAGTGATTTAGACTCCATATATATGAATGTGTTTGAGTAAGAATTAACATAGCTGATCATATGCGAAGGCAAACATGATGCATTTGCTTCGCAAATGTTACCTTTCTACTCTCTTCTGTCATCAATGTTCTTTCCCGGTCTCGTTGGTTAGGTGACGGAAGCGTGGCGCTACATGACGCAATCGAACGTCTGGGCCAGACTCCCGGGCCCACGTCATCACCACAGAGGGTCCGTCGCCATGGCAACGCTAGAACGCCGAATCTACGTCATCGGGGACCGCCTCAAGGCCGGCGCTGACGTCACGACGAACGAAGTTTACTCCCCGTCCGCCAACCAATGGGAGGCCGTGCCTCACGTCCACGTGGGCGTGTTCAAGATCACCATGGTAACGTGTGGCGGGAAACTCTACCTGCTCGGGTACTCTGGGGATGACGGCATCGTCCGCGTGCAGACGTACAGTCCTGGGGACGAGAGCTGGGAGGTGTGTAACAAATTATGAACTAGAAATTTGGTAAGCAAATGCATGTTTACCTTCGCACATGGTTTGCTCTGTTAATTCGTACTCATTCATATCTATTGTCAGACAGGAGTCTAAATCTCTCCTGCTATAAAATTGCAACATGTGTAAGCCAACACCAGCTGCAGTTACCATGGTGACAGACGTCTGGTTCCAGGTCATTGAACTAAGTGGTTTCGAGAAGAAGTGACACCTGTGCTGCAGTGCAATGTGAACCAGTCAGAATTGCCCTGAGGAAGGTGACAGACGGTCACCGAAACGTCGGCTGAATAAAAGACTTGGTTGTGTAAAAAGAGCCTCTTTTCATTCACTCTAAGTCTATTATCATACTCACGAAAGCTGTGTCGGTTCCAGGTGTTCTGGGTGCCAGACTATCACGCCATGAAGCGGCAGTTCCAGACGATGTCCTGCGGCAGCCTGATCTACCTCATGCCGATCTCCCGCGCCTACAAGATGTACGCTCTGGACACGCACTACCGATCATGGGTACAGGTACGTAGTCTCCACCAGACTCCTTTTGCGGGCCTGTGGTAGGGGCTAGCCTCTCCCAGGCTTCGGGAGGCGGCTGGAAAGTCTGATCTACCTCATGCCGATCTCACGGGCCTACAAGATGTACGCTCTGGATCATGGGTACAGGTACGTCTGTACGCTCTGGACATGCACTACCACTCCTGGGTACAGGTACGTGTTTCGTAACGGTAGGGTGCTCGTCTCGGAACCAAGAGGTCCCGATTCTAGTCCTGCCAAGCCACCGATCTTGTGCCCTTTGGGAAACTCAGTAGAGTTAAGACCATTTCACGACCCCCCAGCAATTTGGGCGTCAGGCGCCTTAGCAACACATAGATACAACCTTTGACCCTGAATTTTCCCGATTTCTCCTATTGTTTGATAATTGCCCTGACCCTGCCCAGTGTGAAAACATTGCAAGAGGGGTGCCGGTGGACCAGGTGAAGTGATACCTGGCCTCTGTGGAGTGTGAAATGTTTGGCTGTCTGGAAACAGTGCTGGATGTGTATTATAATTGACAAAGGATTCCATATGTCTAGTGTTTCTAATTTGTGTGATTCCCAGATCTCAACATTACACACTGGTCGATTGTTCTGTCAAATGTGACATTTTCATTGCAAATAGCCTGACAAGGCATAAAACCATATAACACTGAGACTTAAGTAAAGGAGAACCTGAGTATATTTATCATAAACACCAGGGGTACCGTTGATAATCAAAAGTCTGATAACCCTCCATGTTTTTTTTTATTTGATGCCGTTATGTTTGTTTTGATGAGCAATGTTTATTACACTTGACTTAGGAGAGTACTCTTATACTAGTGTTTAGACTAAGTGGTTTGACATAGGTAAAACCTTTCACACACTTTCTTTCGAATTTTGGTAAGTTATAGCAGCTCTATAGAACCCTTTTGCGTCGGGGAACAACAGACGATAAACTTGATAGTGAGTGCGCCAGTGTAATCAACTTGTTAAAAAGCTTGCTCCAACCACATTATAGTTATACTTTTGATGTTATCGACTTGTTCCTTATGTAGAGTATGTTGGATCAAGAAATGGATTTTTGATAAAGTAGTCTTTTTCTAGTCTTACAATGTACTAGTACTTGGAACCCTGAAACAATGGTTGTTTATTGCTGATAAACCAAGCCAAGCTGACCGTCTGGCACTAGCAGGTAAAGGTGTGGACAAGCCGTGAACTGCCTATTGTTCTCCTCGGGTAGTCTGGTTCCCAACAAGGAACATGCTATGTCAACAAGTTAATTGGCTGTATTGTCCACTTATCCCAACAAAGTGATCAGATTTCAGTTCATAAGAAGCCAGAAGTTCAATTTTTGTGATCTTATTTTTGCCCTAAAAGCGCATCCACACAAAACATTCCTTTGAGTTACTGAACACATGTATAGAAAGTAGACAAGTTGTTCTGCAACACTGTGTCGGGCCCAGAGTGCACAGCATTTCCAAGACTTTGCTGACCCTGTATGAATATTGCAAGCATGTGATTTTTGCCAAAAATCTGAACATATTAGATAATATCTCTGTTGTAATAACAATGATACACCTGGGATCGATGGGATGCTATAGGGTTTTTACTGACAAAGACATACATACCAAATTTGCTGGAAAAAAAGTTTGTCTAGGGGTCCCGCCGGGCACTTGAAGTTTATAGATTTAGATGTGCTTATTATATCAATATTATAATATTAGCAAGTTATTCACAAAATTTATGTAGGCAGAGAGTTTGCCTTTGACCTTGTGCTTTAGTAGTTGTCGGAAATGTCAGAAAATAACCACCCAAGAAGTGTACATTACACTTGAAAGTTGTGCTGTCAGTTAATGAGGCAGGGAGGCTCAGGGAGGGGGACAATGGTCTTAACTCTATTGAGAAGGCGCTTTACACGACTTTCCTCACTTGATTCAAGTGAAAAGGAGTATTGTCATGTCCTTTCTTTGTTTCTATGTGTATTCCTCGTGTATTGCACTATTACGTTACATTGTATGTTACAATCTCAATAAATGAAATCAACTCAGGTCCACAACCCGAAGCAGAGCCACCTGCAGTGCGGCTGGACCACGCTAGGCGGCAGGATCTGGCTGACGGGAGGCCGCGAGTTCCACTTCTACCACAACCCACACGTTCGTCTGTTTTCTTCTTTTCCCCTGCATGGTCCTGAACATTGGATGTACCCAATAGATCCTCCTAGCGATATCTAGGTTAACTGCATTGTCATTTGTATGTAACCAATAGACCCCCCTAGCGTTATCTAGGTGAACTGCATTGTCCTTAATGAAACAATTTTGGCGTACAGATAAAAGACATCCAGGTCATGAAATACACAATAAAACAGTTACTCAAGCAACTGGATAGATTTTGAAAACTGTCAGACGTCTTACGTAGCATCCACTACTTTTCATCATCAGTGACTAATGGAATCTGTAGTCGTAGGCATTTGTCCAAAAAGTATGAATTGACATTAGATCAGTGACATAAAGACTAAACTTTATCTCCAACACTAGAATGAATTGGGATTTTCGGCTGACTTCTTCAACTTGTGTACGGAATGGACCCGTCTACTCTTGGAACGGGACGCCAGAGAGAGTGATGGAGATAAAGTTTAGTCTTTATTTTATTTATTTCATAATGACTTGTACCAACACAGATAACCTTGCTATATATTGATATGCTTGATTTCTTGTGTAATTTTGGCGTGCTGTTCCCCCCTCAGATCGAGTGTTACGACCCTGATGAGCAGACCTGGACTATTATGGGCGCACAGACTTCCGGGATCCGGCGGGGGCACGTCTGTGTGCACGTCAGCAGCTGCGACTGGATCGCGGAGAGGCTGTCCCGGAGCCCGTCCGGGGCCCGGCCGGCGCCCGCCGGGGACTGGGGCTGGATGGACGAGCTCCTGGCCGCCCAGTGGAGTCAGTACGGCCTGCAGAGTAGCATGGAGTTCGGCCTGCCGCTGGACATAGACAGCGAGTAAAGATCGCGGAGAAAGGCTGTCCCGGAGCCCGTCCGGGACCCGTCCGGCGCCCGCCGGGGACTGGGGCTGGATGGACGGGCTGCCGCTAGACATACTAGTAGACAGCGAGAAATAGCCTGGTTACCAGACGTATTATAGCTCTCAAGTCCTACATCCTCTCTCTATTTGCGGAGAGGATGTAGGACTCGGGAGCTATATATACTAGGTCTGGTAACCAGGCTAAGCGAGTAAGGTAGTGGGGGTAAAAAGGGGGTAAATAAAAAGTCAATGAGCCTACCACAGAAATTCCCTGGCAAAACCAAATGTAAAACCAAAAACTCTTCTTTTGGAAATGCTGCTTTTTCTTTGAACTGGGTAAGGGTTTTATTTTGTCGAAGAAACCGAAAAATTTGGTTGAAGAAACCAACGTTCAGCCATGCTTAGTGTGTCCTGTTCATTGAAGAAGATATTCGTTTGCATGCGGTCATCAGCTGTCTAGAGGTCAAAGGTCACTTGACAATATTCATTCTTGGTTGACCTTCACGATGCTTTGGACTAAATGGACACTTTCAGGACGAAGCACCCTGCAAACGTGAGTGTTTTATGGACTAAGTCTCAGGTAGGCGACTTTCTTTTACGTAAATACCATGTATTAACTTGTAGCAAGCCTCACTACATGGCCTTTGCTCTATTTGATAGTATACAGAATGAGGCTGATACACGGTTTGAAAGAGCAACTATATTAAAGTTTATTCAGAGGAATTCACGCCAGAGTAATATACACCACAATCGTCAGAAATCGTGCAACTTTCATAACATCAAATAACAGTGCATATCGTTTTGGTGTAGTCGTCGAAAACAACACGTCACAAAATTTGTCTGTTGAGAGGTCCATAATTGCTGGTAATACAGTGGTACATGAATTACTTAGTTATGCTGTATATTGTATGTATTGACAGTATACAAACTGGCTATTGTTAACTATTTGGTAACCTGTAAAGATGTATTATCACCATAAATGGAGAGACTTGACCGAAATTCTGCGGAAGTCAATTAGCCCATGGTAAAGACAAGCTGGTAGCTGCTATAGGTTGACGATGTTGGGTTAGGCCTCGTGCTGTCTATGATGTAAAGTTATCATGACTTGATAATACATGTGGACTTGAACAAAGATAGATAATTAACTCAAAAGAAACAGCAAATATTTCACATATATCACTACATTCATGCTCATCAGATGGCAAGTACGAGCTTTTTAGATATTGAAATGAAAAAAAATTCAAATAATGTAAAACAGCGTTTTTCTCTTATTCACTGTTCGTCGGAAAAACTTGTCATTATTGAGATGGCTTTGTGTCAATATATCAGAGAAAGACAACACAATCGTGCAACTTCAATGGAAACACATAATTAATTCAAAACAATGTCATTCACAAACTCAGGCTGTGTACCTGTTTCGTAAATCGGAAAAAAATGTATCAATTAAGCACAAGGCTTCCAAACACACAAAACAGCAAAAAACATAACCTTGTACAATGTAAACATGAAAAGAAACTCCTGCTACTACCAAGAGACTATCCAGATCCATGACTGATCCTAACCCTGACCCATTCAGGCGTAGAACTTAAGATAGGCACGGTTCTGGATACAATAGAGACTACTTAAAGTATTCAGAACTGTGCCTGATCCTAACCCTAACCAATTCAGGCGTAGAACTTTTAAGATAGACACGGACCTGGATACAATAGAGACTATTCAGAACCGTACCTGATCCTAACCCTAACTCATTCAGGCGTAGAACTATATAGGCACGGTTCTGGATACAATAGAGACTATTCAGAACTTTGCCTGACCATACCCCTAACCCAGTCAGGCATAGAAATAGATAGACGCGGTTCTGGATAGGGTGAGGGATAACTTGTTGCAAGGTCCTCTTGGTGTCGGTGAAGATCAGCCAGCAGGAGTTTCAGTCTTCCGGCTGGAGAGAATAACAGAAAAAAGTGTTACTGTGTAACGTCGGTGAACGTTAGACATCCAGGCAATAAGATACGCCAAAATACAGTTAATCAAGCAGCTGGATATGATTTTGGAAAACGGTCAGACGTTTCATCAGACGTAGCATCCACTACCTTTCGTCAGTGTCAACTCTCCAGTGTCACTGACGAAAGGTAGTGGATGCTACTTGAAACGCCTGACCGTTTCCAAAATCATGTCCAGTTGTTAGAGTAACTATTTTTGGCGTATGTTAAAGTGTTACTAAAAAAATTCCAGCCCAAAATTTTCAATGCTACCAAACCACAGGAATGCAAAGCTGTTACTGTGAATTTTCGGTACATAGCAGTATAGCGAGGTATAGCGAGGTATACGACGAGCCGGCACATGCTGGCTTTTTGCTGAATTTATGAATCGGCACTAAGCAACTTCCTTGTGTATATCTCACTATTCTTCACGGAGAATATATATTTTTTTATATTCCAACATTTCATGACCAAACATGGCGACGCAGGACAATACTCATTTTCACTTGAGTTAAGTGAGGAAAGTCGTGTAAAGTGCCTTTCCCAAGGGCTCATGATCGGTGGCATGCCAGGACTCGAACACGGGACCTCTTGGTTCCGAGTCGAGCACTCTACCTCTGCGCCACACGAATACAAACACACGACCCCACGGAGAAGAATTCATTTCCGTGTTCAATATATATACAGAATACAACACGGGATATTCCGTATCGCCCGGGGTATCGGCCCGACCGCGCGTCGGATCGCCCGACGGCCGCCGGAGGGCGATCCGACTCGCGGGAGGGCCGGGACCGAGGGCGATGCGGAATACACCGTGTTGTATTTCATTTATGTCATAGTCAAACCCACCCAAGAAAACGCGCCTTTCAATGCAAGATGAGCCAAATGTTGGTGCCACTGAACCCTAAAATGCAACAACATCAATTCCAACGTCCGGATTCTGTATTCGAATTTTCGAAAGGGGCACACGCGGTTAGGGCGAAACGCGTTCGAATCGTTCTATGGAAGCCATGGAGCCCGGGCCGTATACCGTAAAGTACGGCCCGGTCCGGATACCCATTATCGATCGTTATCGCGGCCCGGTGTTGAGCCAAATCCTTGAGCTGCCACATACGTGAGAGGTCAGTTGTTCAGGGCTAGGGTTAGGGTTAGGGCTAGGGTTAGGGTTAGGGTTAGGGTTAGGGTTAGGGCTAGGGCTAGGGCTAGGGCTAGGGTTAGGGTTAGGGTTAGGGTTAGGGTTAGGGTTAGGGTTAGGGTTCGTAGGGTTAGGGTTAGGGATGGGGTTGGGGTTGGGGTTAGGGTTAGACTTACGATTGGGGTTTAGGCTAACTTAACCCCTCCCACCCCTTGTCTCAGGTATATTGAAAACCCCCATGTAGTGTCGGAGTCATGTATTTGGCAGGATCATGTATTTGGCTTGACACCGGGTATGATATAAGTGTACTTACCACGTTAATAGCAGATCACACCAGCGTCCTCGCTGTGCCCGCAGTTGTGGGAGCCCCATCCGTTGTGCCTGCAGCTACCGAGACTTGACTCGGACCCGCTACAGGCCACGTTATCCATCCAGATCTGGCCGGACCCCTGTCCAAAGGCGGCGTATCTGCAAACATAATCAGCAAAGAGTCACCCTAGTCAGCAATCTATAGAACTTGGTAGGTTCTATCTTTGATGTACACAACATTATGTAACACTTTACTTAGAGGATCATTCCTAATGCGTGTGTGTGCCCCCGCCACCCCTGTTCTGGCGTAAGCGGCGTCAAATGAAACCTGGTCTCGTTGTGAGAGCGCCATACATTTTCTGTTACACTAGTACTGCCCAGTATATAATCAGCAAAGAGTCACCCTAGTCAGCAATCTACAGAACTTGGTAGGTTCTATATCGTTGATGTACATAACATGCTTGAACAATTCTTATGTAACATTCTACTTAGAGGATCACTCGATTTACACCCAGCTACAAACTGTAACATTTTGACAATTACCCAAACTTACGTTATTGATACTAACGGTTTTTTTTAACTCCTACATGTTTGTTTTCCTTTTTTTTTCAATCATTTGTTTTAATCGTTAATTTTTATGTTAATTATCTAATCAGTTTATTTCCGCAACAGCGACCTGAATTACATGTATAAGACTTTTGTTTAATTTGACAAAAATAGTTTACACACCTCAGTTATTATTTCTGTGTCTTGATTCTGTTTAATCAATCAATTATTTCATTGTTTAATTTTGATGTTTAATTCAAATACGTTTTGTCATGCATCTTAGTTACCTTTGTGGCAGGCCCTTTAAAAAACCACCTAAGTTTCTGGCCTACCCCGCATATTTATGTTTACCGGAGGGAAACATATTGTTTTTGCTACGTTTCCTCTTCCTCTTCTTCTTCTCCAAACAGTGACCTCTGACCTGACTGAACCAGACTGTCTGTCACCATGGTAACTAGTGTTGGGTTACATCATGTTGCAAATTTATAGTAGGAGGGATTTAGACTCCTGTCACCATATATGTGAATGTGTTTGAGTAAGAATTAACAGAGCAGATCATATCCGAAGGTAAACATAACGCATTTGCTTGCAAATGTTACCTTTCTAGTCTCTTACTGTCATTATTTGATTATGTAACTTTTTTTATAAGTGCACATAAATAAACAAATTAACAAATAGAAAGAAAAGTGTGCGTACGATCGGGCCTGATAAGCTCTGCCGAACCCGGCCTGGCGGCACGCGACGTGAGCGTCGTGAATGTCCCAGTCGTCGTCGCAGACTGTCCCCCAGCGTCCGCCGTAGTACACCTCCACCCGGCCCTGTCGCGAGTTACTCCCGCCCACCAACCGGATGCCTGAAACGCAGAC